AGGAGGTGCATGTCGCAGTAGCTGACGCCCGGGCGCATGGTGCGCTCCACGGCCAGCGTGGCGGCCCAGACCGCCTCGTACACGGTCCTCTGGGCCGCCGTGAAACGCCCGTCCACTGGGAACGTGCAGGTGATGTCCGCCGTGTAGCAGTGGTACTCGGCGCCCATGTCGTGCAGCTTCAGCTCGCCGGGGCGCACCTCCTCGGCGTTCGGGAACGCCGCGTGGCCGTAGTGCAGAATGCCGCAGCGAGCCCCGCTGGGGCAGATGCAGTGGTAGCCCACCCGCGCGCAGCCGCGAAGGAAAGCAAAGTGACGGAAGCTCGCCTCCGACACGTACTCCGGGTCGCCCGGGCGCACCCCCCGCATCACGGCCACGTGCGCGTCCGAGGAGACGTCGTTGACGAAGTGCAGAATGGCGAGCTCGTCCTCGTCCTTGACGACCCTGCACTCCGCCAACGCGTCCCAGAGGCGCCCGTCGCTCAGGATCCGGAAGTCGCCGCACCCCTCGAAGCGCGGGCTGGGCAGGCGCAGACCGGAGTCGCGGTTCAGCCCGTGGTAGGCCAGGAGACTCTCGGCGCCGCGCGCCTTCATCACGCTGGCCATCTCGTCGACGAAGAAGACGCCGTCGACCTCGTACGTGTCCCTGAACCACTGCAGACCGCGCCGGGGGCCGACCCACGCCTCGTAGTCCTCGGGCAGCCGGGGCACGAAGAGCAGCGCCTCCCCGCTCTCGGGGTCGAGGGCCCCCGAGCAACCGGGCTCTCGCACGCCGAAGAGCCACTGGAAGTTGCTCTCCTGCCTGAAGTCCCAGACGGTGTCCGTGTCGTACACCGGGCTCTCCTGCCCGCCCTGAAACAGCGCCAGGCACGCCCCGCGCTCCTCCGGAGCCAGCCCTGGCCGCAGGCGCTCCAGCAGCCTCTCCCGGTGGCGCCGGTGCATCTCGAAGGGCACGCGGGGAGTGCCTGGGCTGCCCCCGCCCCCCCCCCCATGTGAAGAAAGACCTCCCGCCCTCCCTGCCCCCGCGGCCTCCTCGCCGCCGCCGCCGGCCCAGCGCCCCGGGCCGGCTCTCGGCGCCGCGTAGTTCGCCCCGAAGAAAGCCTCCCTGCCCGCCGCGCCTCCTCGGCCGTGCAGCCCCGCCGGCGGCGCCCGCACCCCGACCGCGGGCGCGCGCACGAGCACCGCGGCGCCGCCGCGGCCAGCGCGGCCGCGGGCCGCGCCCGCCGCGGCAGCGCCCGCGGCCGCGGGCCGCGGCGTACCGCCGCGGGCTGCCGGCGGCGGCCGCGCGCGCCCGGCGCCCGGCAGCGCGCGCGCTCGGCCCGGGGAAGGTCGGCCGCGCGCGGAGGCGGCCTCTGCAGGCAGCAGTGCCCCCCCGCGCGTGGGGCCGCGGGCGGCGCGAGCGGCGGCTGCATCGGCGCCAAGGAGCGCGCCCCGCGCGGAGGCCACCAGCGGGCGCGGGGGGGAGCTGGCGGCGAGCGGCTTGAGCCAGGCTACGGACGAGCCTCCAGAAAGCCTTCGGATGGTCCGTGGACTACCTCCGACGTCCTCCCTCGCGGTCCAGTGGAGGCCGCCCAGAGAGAGAGAGAGTAGAGTAGGCCACATGCGAACCTTACCCCACCACGCCACGATTTCCCTAAAGGGGAAGGTGGGATTCACTTCGTTCGGGACCTCCCAAGCGAAGTGAACCCCACCCCCCTTAGAAATCGTGGGGTGGTGGGGTAGAGTTCGCATATGTAGCCACCGAGAGAGTTCGAACACATTCCCGAAGGAAAACCCAGGACGCCCCAAAACTGGCCCAAGACGGCCAAAGGTCGATCCGAGACCGGCCGAAGTGCAGCCCCACGACTGACCCCCCAGATGGCGGCAAGGCCTCCAGCGACCGCCCGCCGACGGCCCCGGGACTTCTCGAGACAGCACGACGTCTCCCAACAGCTCCCCGAGCAGACCTCCGAGCGGCTACCAAAAAACTTCGCGAGACCTGCGAGACAACCGCGCCCCACCTCGGCGATGTTCTTGCCCATCTCCACGTTGCCCCCCACGGACACGGTGGCGATGTCCAGGAGGTCCTTGGTCTCCACCGGCTTCGCCAGCTTCTCCACCTCGTCCGCGATCTTGGCGGCGGCGGCCTGCGACAGGGGGGGGGGTCGAGCGGAGCCTCGCCTCGCCCGACGCCGTGGCCAGAACGGGTGCGGAAGAGAGAAGGTGTGCACTGCAGTCGGACCGAGGTCCAAGATCGAGGTCGGTTCGGGGAGGACACCCTGGTGTTCTTCGTGCTTGCCGGAGGTTCCTGTGCATCCTGGGAAGGGCGCCCTTGGTATTAATGTTTGTTTCGGCCGACGGAGGGTTCCCATGCTCTCGAGGGATGTTGTTCTGGCCTGGGTCCGACTGCAAGCAGGCCCCCCCCCAGGCTCGCTTTGCAGGCAGGCCACACGTGAGCCCCACCCCTGCAGGGCGGCGGGCTCCAGAAGCGCGGGCTGGCGTTCAGGATCCGGAGCGCGCTTGCAGCAGAGCGATCCCCCCCCCGGGGGCCCTGTGCAGTGGAGGCCCATCCACAAGAAACCTTCCACAAGAAACCTTCCACAAGAAACCCAACCCTTCCATTGCAAAACCATCGAAAACCAAGAAACCAAGGGCACCCTGGAGGCAAGCAGGGTGTTTCTTGGCATGGGCCTCCACTGTACCCCAACATCGACTGGACCCGCGGGGGCAGGGTTCGCAGTCGGTCGCAGAGCTTGGCGCCAGACGCCGAGTTCGGTCTCGGCGGCGAGCCCGGGGGGGGAAGCGGGAAGGGGCGGGCCTTCTCAGAAGGCTCGTCGGAAGTCCCCTGGCCTTCAGAGAAGTTTCCTGAGCCTTCCCCGAAGGCACGGACACCCTCTCAGAAGGCGCGGAGGCTTCTGAGAAGTCCCGCCGCCCTGTGAGAAGGCCTTCTCCTCATCATTTCCCCCCTCGCTCGCCGTCGACTGTCGGCCCCCAGCCAGGCCATGAAGCCACGTGCGCGCCAAGTTTGATTCCAGAGCTGACGAACCAACAACACACACCCATACCCATAGGGGGGTCGGAAAGGACTATGGGTGCGTGTTGTCGGATGGGGGTCCCCGGTCGAACGGGAGCGTTCCCTAGGATCCGACAACCCGCACCCATACCCATAACCAGTCCTCCTCCCAACGACCCCCTTATGGGTATGGGTGTGTGTTGTTCGTTCGTCAAGAGTGGGCCTGCGGATGCCGAAGGGGTGGCGTGCGCTGTCCCTGCCCCGGAGCGCCCCCCGCACGGCCCCTCCGCGGATCCCCACCCCGAGGAGCCACGGTCTGCGGCCCCCGTGCCGAGGCCAGTGGAGCAACAACCAAAGCACCACACACACACACAAACAAACTAACACTTTCACGCACACGCACACGCACACACGCACACACGCGCACACGCACACGCACACACACACACACACACACACACACACACACACACACACACACACACACACACACACACACACACACAACACACACACACACAACGCACACACGCACACACGCAAACACACACACACACACACGCACACGCGCACACACACACACACACACGCACACACGCACACACACACACAACACCACACAACACGCGCGCGCGCGCGCGGCGCACGCACGCACGCACGCACGCACGCACGCATGCACGCACGCACGCATTGCACGCACGCGCACGAACGCAGCACATCACACACACACACACCACACACACACAACACACACCACACACGCACCCCCCCACCACCCCACCACACACACACACACACACACACCACACACACCAAACACACCCACACAACGCGCGCGCACACACACACACACACACACACACACACACACACACACACGCACACACGCACACACGCACACACGCACACACACACAGACACACAGACACAGACACAAAGACACACACACACACACACACACACACGCACACACACAACCGCACACACACACACACACACACAGGTACCTGTTTGGCAACGTGGCCACGCGCCCGGCGGCGCGGCGCGTGATCACATGAAGCGGCAGAACGACAGACAGACACACAGACACCCAAACAAACAAACAAACAAACAAACATACATACAGACAAACAGACAGACAGACAGACAAACAACAAGCATATAAACAAACAGAATACAACAAAAATCATTACCCCAGCGTCGTTCCCAACCCATCAGCAATAACTGACAAGAGGATTAGGCGATTTTTTTACGTAAGACGACGCGACTAGAAACGTGGCGTGCTGTGAAAGCTAAATGGAAGGCCCGCGAGTTGGCACGACTCCTCGGGCGAGAAAGAGAGGACTGAAACACGACTGAGATGCAATAAGGAAAAATAAGAAGACCGAGAGTATCAGCCGAGACCAGAAAGGCGTTCCAAGTACGGCGAGGTCTGTGCCCCGCGGGAGTTCCCAGGAGCTCACGGAAGTGACGAGCGCCAAGATTCAGTTTCGCCCAGTCGGTTTTGGTCAAATCGGCTTCGCCCAGCGGGATTCGCCCGCAGTCGGTTTCGCCCGGTCTGTTTCGCCCGCCGTCGGTTTCGCCCAGTCGGTTTTGCCCGCAGCTCGCCCGACCCGTAGGGCGCGCGTGCCACGTCGATAACGCATCACACTGCAGCGCCCCGCCCACCCGACCGGACCCGCCCCCCACCCGCCCGACCCGACACGCTCGTGAGGGGCCGCCCGCCCGACCCGACCCGCCCGCGAAGGCCCGCCCGACCGATCCGCCCCGCCCGCCGCGCACGCGCGCCAACTCCATAATACATCACACTGCAATGTCGCGACCGCCCGACCCGCCACGCCCATTGAGGCCCACCCGCCCACCCGCACGACCCGCCTCGCCCGCCAGGTTCCGCCCGCCCGACCCGACCCGCCCGTCAAACACGCGCGTCAACTCGATGACGCACCATACTTGACTCCCGCCCGCCCGAACTGGCCCGCCCACTAGGGACCGCCAGCCCAGCCCGACCCGCCCGCCAGGGCCCGCCCGACCGATCCGCCCCGCCCGCCGCGCACGCGCGCCAACTCGATGATACATGCCAGCTGAATGTCCGCCCGCCCAACCCACCCTGCCCGGCAGGGGCCCGCCCGACCCGACCCGACGCGCGCGCCCGTCGGGGCCCGCCCGCCCGACCCAGCCCGCCCGACGCGCACGCGCGCCAACTCGATGACGCATCATACTGCAATTTCCCGACCGCCCGAACGCCCAGCTCGTCAAGGCCCACCTGCCCGACCCGACCCGCCCGTCCGGGCCCGCCCACCAGACCCGACCCGCCAGCCGCGCACGCGCGCCAACTCGATGATGCATCACACTGCAGTGCCCCGCCCGCCCGAAACGCCCCGCCTTTTAGGGCCCACCCGCCCGACCCGACCCGACGCGCCCGTCGGGGCCCGCCCGCGCGACCCGGCCCGCCCGACGCGCACGCGCGCCAACTCGACGACGCATCACACTGCAATGTCCCGACCGCCCGACCCGCCACGCCCCTTAAGGCCCACCCGCCCGATCCGATCCGCCCGTCAGGGCCTGCCCGCCCGACCTGGCCCGCCAGCCGCGCACGCGCGCCAACTCGACGACGCATCACACTGCAATGTCCCACCCGCCCGACACGCCCCACCACCCGCCCGACCCGACCCGACGCGCGGGGGCGCGCCCGTCCGACCCGGCCCGCCCGACGTGCACGCGCGCCAACCCGATGACGCATCATACTGCATTGTCCCGACCGCCCGACCCGCCCCGCCCGTCAAGGTCCACCCACCCGATCCGACCTGACCCGCCAGCCGCGCACGCGCACCAACTCGATGATGCATCATATTGCCCGAGCACGGGCCCCGCTCCCAGCACGGGCTCCGCTGGCGGGACGGGGCGCGCCACCCTCTCCGACTGCGCCCCCAAAAACTGGGCACGGCCTCCACTTCGGCTCCGCTCCCCGAAGGCGCGTGTTCGCATCGTCCATCCGCGACATCCTCGCCGCATCTGAACGCCTCATCACCTCGTGGATCTCTGCCAGGTCGCACGTACGAAAGCTGGCTGCTGGGCCTTGCTGGCTGGGACTGCCTGCTGGCGCTGACGGCTGCCTACTGGAACTGGCTACTGCCTCTGGCTGCGACTGGCCGCTGCCCTTTTTATGGCTGGCCTTCACTTGGCCCCAAACCGCTTCTGCCGCATCTGCCGCATAGCATGCCTCGTCGCAGGCGTCAATGTCCTCCCCAGGAGAACGCCACGTTGTTGAAAATTTGATCGCAGAATTTCGGCTGCCGCTCGCTCAGGATGTCCCACAGGGAATCCAGACGGATACCTGTGTTGTCGACAACGTGGAAGCAAAGGAGAGGAATGTGCCCCCTCCACGTCAGTAGAACTTCACGGCCCCTGCCCTCTTAGAGAAATTACCCCACTGTTCGTTCCCTGGTGAGCTCCAGAAGAATTCATGGAGCGCGCGATTTGCCGACAAGTCGATGAGATGTTGCTCGATATAAAAACCCTGTTGTTTTGAGGAATTCATGCCAAAAGAACATGCCGATCTCCACCAGCAATCGAGCATCTTCGCGTCGTTCGTCCCTCTCGTGGCGGTGCCAATGCTCGGCGCTATGCAAGCTCAAAGACGTGTGGAGGAAAGGGGAAGTATCCTGGCTCCCTTCCACAACAGCCTGCACGACACCACGACGCAGTTCGTCGTTGAGTGGACCCATCTTCCTCACCTTTTTGGTGTTGGGGTTAAGTGTGTCGATGTCTTCTGGGTTGAGGTCCTTGCCGTCGATGCGCATGGAGCGGAAAAGCTTCATCACGGGCGTACTCTTGGTCGAAATTGTAATTCCGGTCTTGTCCCAGTAGAAAGAACAGCTTTGGAGGACTGACCTCCCATGAGGACCCACAGTGGCTGAACGCCTGCTTTGGGCCCCAAGCCGTGGCTCGTATGGCAATGGGGACGATGAGGAAATTGTTCGAAAGGAAATGGCAATGGGCAATGGCAATGGGGACGATGATGATGAGATGATGGGGACGATGAGGACGACGATGAGAGCACAACCAATTTGACGGTGAGGAAGGTGATGACGGTGATGACTGTGATGACGGTGATGAGGGCAACGATGATGACGGTGATGACGGCAAGGATGGCAACGATGATGACGATGGTGTGCGCTTGCTTGCAGGCAGGCATGCTGGTGATAGCGATGACGACGACGACGACGACGACGACGACGACGACGACGACGACGACGACGATGATGATGATGATGATGATGATGATGATGCTGATGCTGATGCTGATGCTGATGCTGATGCTGATATTGATGCTGATTTTGATGCTGATGATGGTGATGATGATGGTGATGATGGTGATGATGATGATGATGATGATGGTGATGATGATGATGATGATGATGATGATGATGATGATGATGATGATGATGATGATGATGATGATGGTGGTGGTGGTGATGATGATGATGAGGATGAGGATGAGGATGAGGATGAGGATGAGGATGAGGATGAGGATGATAACGAAGGCGGGAAAATAGGCTAGGAAACACACGCGTGCCTGCCACAGGAGTGCATTCTGACCCCCGCCTAAACAGAACAAACTCTGAACAGTTGGCTCGTCATCCACCGCACGCAGATGGCAGCCCTCAGAGGGACGGCCAAGTCTGCTGCGGAGCCACGTGGTGCACCCATTTGACCGAGCCACGTGGCGACCGCTTGGGCATTTCGCAGTCACTTGGAGGCCTGGAAATTGGCACCAACTCCAGCACACGGGGTTGCCTCCACATGGGAAAAATGATCCTAGATTTCGGTGTTGGTGGTGATATTTCGGTCACCTTGGAAACCAAATGTTACCCCCATCACCGAGATCGGGATCGTCTTCCCTCGGTGGAGGCACACCGCCGATCTTGGTGTTGGTGTCAACCTCTAGGCCTGCGAATCACCAGGGGACGGCGAGGTTTGGCATGGACCCTCGTGGCGCGCCCAGGCCGCCGGGCCTCCCCGCGGCTCCCGAGAGTGGCGACGGGCTCGAGGCTCGCAGGCCCCCCGGGGGGACGGCGAGGTCCATCCGGGGGCCACCCTCCCTGGCCCTCCCAGGAGCTCGCGCACGCGGCGACCGCCTCGCAGCTGGCAGCCCCCCAGGGGGCGGCGAGGGAAGGGGCCCCAGGACACAGAAATAAATACGCACAAATAAAACGATTCCCCATATTTTCCCATATTTCTTTGGGTTTTTGTCTTCCCCCCCACTTCCCATCTTTTCCTATATTTTCCTGGGAATCGACGATTAATTGTGTCTGTGTTTTTTCCCCTCCTGAGCGAGGTCGAATCTGACCCCCGTGGCGCACCCACCCCGCCGGGCCCCCCGGGAGGGAGCCGGCAGAAGTGGCGACAGCTGCGCAGCAGGCTGGTAGCCCCCCCCTGGGGGCAGCGAAGTCGAATCTGGACCCCCGTGGTGCACCCACTCCGCTGGGCACCCCCGCAGCTCACGAGAGTGACGACGGCTTCGCAGCTCGCAGCCCCCAGGGGCCGGCGCGGTCCAATCTGGATCCCCGGGTGTGCCCACTCCGCTGGGCCCCCCCGCAGCTCACGAAAGCGGCGCCGTCTCGCAGTTCACAGACCCCAGGTGACGGCGAGGTCCAATCTGGATCCCCTGAGCATACACACTCCGCAACTTCACAATTCACAACACCACAAAAACAAAAAAAAAAAACAAAAAACAGGAGGGTGAGAGAGGGGAGGCAGGAGGCAGTAGAGGAGGCGGCAGCAGTGCCATACTCAAAAGCAAGAGCCATCGCAAAAGGATGTGTAAAAAAGGGTGAGTCTCGACGATAAGGCGAAATTTCGCGATGGCTCGCACAAGCTGCTATCACAGCACACCGCGTGGATAAGAGAGCGGTTTGGGCACGACCTTGCGCGAGCATCTTACGACGCGAATGACCGCACAGTCGACCCCGCTGTCTTGGGTCGCTCGGAATCTTCACCCAGCTGTCGGAGAATGATCCAGAGATCCTCGGTCGAATACTGGGGAGTGCCCGCGAGAGGGCAGCCGTTCGCCGATCCGTGGTGCCTGCACTCTGGGGTGCCTGCCCGTTCCCTCGGAAACGGCAGCTCTGCACCGCCATCCCCAGTCGGCGCCGTCCCGGGCCCCTGGATGGGGTCCAGCCGGCCCCTGCCGTGGCGACACCGCGCACGTGCTTTCCAACACTGCGTAGACCGTTGGTTCCTGGGCGGTCTCCGCTGTCCGATAGCGTCGACCGTCCGAGATTGAGCGACGGTAGGGGGAAACAGTTAGTGGACACTCCCCCGCTCCCCCCAACTCAAAGTTGGCACGCGCGGGTGAGACTGCGGTCAAAGTGCAACTCACCAGACCCGCCGCCGAGTTTGAACATTGGGCGGAGGGGGAGGCGTTGACCGAGGAATGTGGCAGGCGTGTTCGCTATTTTTGTTCCGAAGTCCAGGCCGACAAGGTGGCCTCCCACCCCAAACGCCCCCGCCGGCGGTGCTGCTGCGTCGAGACGCGGCGCGGACCTCCTGGGGCTGTACACCACCCTGGGGCCCCGCACGGACTTGGACTGGGACGGCGGCGCACGCAGACAGACCGACCGACCGACCGACCGACCGACCGACAGACAGACAGACAGACAGACAGACAGAGAGACAGATAGACAGACAGAAAGACAGACAGACCGACCGACAGACAGACAGACAGACAGACACACAGGCAGACAGACATCAGCCTTGCGTTCAGGTGGACGCGTTGGCAGGAAAGGAGGTGTGACCAAACGCCACTCGGAACGCTCGAAGCAGAGGTGTGATCAAACGCCACACGAAGCACTCGAAGCACGGAGGTGTAACCAAACGCCATAAGATGACGACGGCTGATGAAGACGACGATGATCGATATGTTCACCTGTTCAAACAGGTTGCGAGAAAATGTAAACTGAAGACGCCCATTGCAAATGTGTAAGACTGAAAATGCCAGAAACTTGAGCTTTCTGGGGACGGCGCGGAATTCCAGAAGTTCCTGCTCACGAAGCTGTTTTTCTCTTCCCATACAGCTACCGCCTGTAGATTCGCTGATCCCCCGAAACTTCGGTGGCAACTCATGGGAGCCTCCCGTACCATCTTGTCGGCCCTCGCCAATCGACGCTAGTCGACGCTAAACCGACGCTAATCGACGCCAAATCGACGCTCATCGACGCTAACCGGCGCTAAATCGGCGCTGTCTCATCGACTCCCAGACGCTAATCGACGCTACTCGACGCTAAAGTCAGGATTACGAGGGTATACAAGGCTCCCATGACTTGCCACCGCACGAAACCCCTGTCTCTCCCTCCGAACTCGGGGGTCGACAACCGCCACCCCCTGACCCGTCTTGGGGCGCCTCTTGGCCAGAGCCTCCGGGAGAACCTGGCCTCCTGGCGACGAGAAGCCTCCCAGAAACCCAGAAAGGGCGCAGGCGACCCGAGCCCTCGAACCTCCGCCTCCTCCTCCTCCTCCTCCTCCTCCTCCTCCTCCTCCTCCTCCTCCTCCTCCTCCTCCTCCTCGTCCTCCCAGACATCCGCCGATCTGTGTTTTTCTATCCGCTGCCGACCCAATCCCTGGGGCTGGATTCAGTTCTGAATGGGCCCAGGGCCCGATAACGGGCCCCGGAGGCCGAAATCGAGGAGAAGTGCCCAGACTGAAATTGCACGGGGTGTGCCCCGACCCTTTCTCCACGCACGGCGACTCTTGTACGAACGCTCCGAACGAAAGAACGGGCAGAGAGGAGTGGACACACCACAGTACCACAGGGGTAGGTGCACGGGAACGTTTCGCGTGGCCGAATTGTCGGCGCACTGCCACTGACACGCCTCAATCGCTTGGCGGTTCGTGGCTCCTCTCATCCTCCTCCGCCTCCTCCCGTCCCTGCTCCTTCTCCTCCTCCTCCCCCTCGAGGCCGACCTGCCGCCTGCCTCAGCTCTTGGAGAGAGAGCACGCCGAGGCGGATCGAAGGAGGACTCTGGTCCAGAGTCCGACGGATGCGATCTTCACTAACCTGCACCTTCGGTGAGAACGAGAACCCAACGCGGGAGGGCCAGGGCAGAGCCCTGGGCCCGTGCCTCCCCGCGCCTCAGCCCCCTCGCGCGCGCGGGGGCGCGCGGCGTGCCGCCTTCATGCCCCTCTGCATCAGCACGGGGTTGTAGCCGCTGACGACCAGCTGCATGCCCTGGTTCACGATCTCCTGCGCCACGCAGGAACAGTCTCACGACCCCCCTGTCCAGGAGATACAGGGGGATGCATCATTCCTCGCACAGGTGGGCCCCAGGACCATCACGGATCCGTCGAGCTCGAAGCATGACGCGGGAAAGTGGGATCGAGGGCTCCAGCCGCAGTCTTTTTTACGATGCCGCAGATTTTTGTCGCAGCCTCGGACTTCTGAGGTACCTGTTCGCGGCCCCATGCGCGTGCAGTGCTGGATCCGCGCCAGGGGCGGCGCCGCAGGCGCCGCTGTCGGGGGGAGGCCGAAGGTGGGGAAAAATCTGCCGTCGTGACTTTTCTCACGACGCGAGGGGTCTTGGCCAGTCGGCTTTCAGAGCACGACTCTGGCCTTGGGCGGCCGCTCGGCACAATCCGCCCCTCGACGAAGCGCCGCCAGTGGAGAGCACCCCCAAGGCCCGAAATCCTTCAAAACATGGCGTCGCGATTTTTCCTGGTTCGAGGGGGTCTCGATGCAAACAGCCAGGCACACTCGTACTCAGTCAACGTCATCACCATCCCAACGCCCCCATACGGCTGCGAGCGTGCGTCTGGATGGGCG